CAGCAGGAGCACAGGTTAAATGGGCTGCTCCAGATACAAACGGACTATGAGAGCGGGACTGGGAAACTCAAAAATTACACATTTAAGTATCATTACACTGTTTTCATTTTTTGCTGCAAATGTACATATTTATGAATTCAGCTTTGCAGAACCCAAGAGAACGTCTGGGTAACAGGTATTGTGTCATTTTTCAGAATTAAGAGTGATACGGGAACATTTTCTCAAGACAGGGCTAGCTTGCCAAGGGAGCACACGCACCGCGCTAGGACGCCACGCCACCAACCAGCCCGTATCACGAAGGTGGCGGCGGCCCTGGGGGGCACGTGGGGAGGAGGCGGCTCGGCACGAGCGCGCGAGGGCAGCCCCGGCGGCTCTGCCCGCTCTCCCTGCCTCCCCTCCGCGCTGCTCCTCCCCGCAGCCGCCTCATGGGTCACAGCGGATTGAGGAGCACCGGCCCCATCAAGCACACGCAGGCGCACTGCGCGCCAGCACGGGGAAATGCCCACAGGTGAAGCTGGGCAGAGCCCCCGTTTCTGCTGCTCGTGCTGCGCTGTGAGCACTGGAGAGCAGGTGAAGCCCGCGCACCGGAGGGAGCACCAGCCACATCCAGCCGGGCTGAATTCTCTGCGCTCACTGACACCGAACACACATATAACCCAGCTGGACTGCAAGTCCCTGTACATTCCCAAATAAACTCAAAGGCATTTCACCTAGCGTCAGAAGGCCAAAAACCACAAAGCACCAGACCAAGGGCACGACTTAGCGCAGCTGGTCACCTGGATAGCACCTGGAATAAGCGGGCCTTGCGAGGCCTGTGCTGCTCACCAGCGCTCCCGCTGCCTGAGGAGGGGATCCCGCCTCTGCCCTTCCACCTTGCTGCCCTCGTGCCCTTCGGGCTTCACCAGCAACGCTGCAGCGCTGCACAAAGTGTGTGAGAGCACCACAGCTCCTCACCACCTGTGCAACTACCCATGCACTCACAGTTCTTGTGGGAGATTTAAAAGCTCCTGTAAAGATAATTCTTGTCAGTTTGAGCAGACAATTAAACAGCAGCAATTGGTGAAATTCTATAATCATATCTTCTAATCAGCTTTGGAAGAAGGACTGCAAAAAATCTAAACAAGGCACTTAAGACATGGAGAGACACTGAATAGCCATTTACCACAAATAGAACCAGTATATGTTTTATGGCCTTAATTCTACAACTGGCTCTATAATGATGCATGCCGTGTTACCAAGAAGGCTAAGATTTTTGCAGCCAGTCTGCTTTTTTTCCTTAGAATTGCTTCCTAAGTAACTTAGATGTATAAATTCAAGTGATTTATACAGAAAATATAAATACTATGAGAAGCTTTTGTTACTTTTTGTTGAAATAGTTTGCAGACTTTTAAGCTTTAAAAATATTTAAATGAAGGCCAGACTGTGCTCACCAACTGGAGGAAGAGGACAGTTCCAGAAGAAATCTCATTAAAACGGCTTGAAGGCAGCGGGGTGAAAATAAAAAGATTTTTTTTTCCTGAGTGTTGCACAATGTAGAATAGAGAAAGACTACACAATAAGAGACTGATCATCTGAAGCACTTAATTATAAATTGTTGCAAAAGGCAGAATTTCGTAAAGGCCTCGCTGCCCGCGGCAGGCCCGGGGGCCAGGGCCGGCGCCCCGGCCGCCCTCCCAGCGCGGGCAGCGGGGAGAGCGCACGGGGCTTCGGGGCAGGATTTCACCCACCAGCCGAGCAGGCCTAACTTGTGCTTTCAGAAGAGGCAGAACGCGGTCCACGCGCAGAGCACGTGGAACAGACACAGTATTCACGTAGAGCCAGGAAGTGCAGCGCTTCAAGCCTTCCGCAGAGACCGATCATTTTTCCTGCTGCAGTTCAGCAAGAGAAATGTACAGTTGGAAGACTCTTAACACGACTCTTTCCATCTACTAACTGTCTTAGGGAAAAAAAAAAAAGTGTTTAGAAAGGTTGACTAGGCATACCTGAATATCTTCTAATCTACAGCAGTATTTTCAATATCTGAATCAAATTTCCTTTACCATTCACAAAATTTTATTGACTTCAACGGTTTTGTGTAAGCAAGTGCAGAAACCTGTGTGACATTTATTAATTTTATGTAAATGTTACTAACTTACTAACAACTTAACAAGATGCATCAAATAAGAAAAGCCTTCAGATGTCTTCAGTTCAAATGTTAGTGAGAACACCTAACTGGTAAAGTTATAGAAAAACAGGGATATCTAGTTCATAAATGGATAACGTAAAACCACAGTTAAAAAAATAGCAAAAGGAGAGCAGATTTCTTAAGGTACGTTTAAGAATTTCAGTGAATTTTTGCTGTGTGTTATCTCAAGCACCAGCACTCTAGGATGTGGTATCACTCAGTCACACTATTTGCCTCTGATAGCATGTCAGTAAGTGCACTGTACACTTCCCAGCATTTAGAGCTGGAAGAAGGTTATAAACCAAAGCAACAATCTGTACAGAACAGACTGTATTTTCCATCTCCATGAGAAGCATAGCAAGGAAGACACATGTGTTAGTAATTGAAAGTGCAGACCAGAATTCAGACCTGGAATACTTAAATCCCTCTCTTGTAGGTGGCATGTCTTCAAAAGAAAACCTTTTTTTTAAAAAAAAAGAATCTTACAGTACTGAAAAATGCTAAGGCACCAGACAGAGCCATAGTCTTCATTTGCTGAAAAGCTAAGAACCAGAGCTGGCCAGAAAGGAGGTTGAACTTGTCGTCCAGCTCCACCTCTCCGCGGCACAGCCACCGGACGCTCCCGGGAAGCGGGCCCAGCGCAGCGCCGTGCGCGTCCCCGCTGCGGCCAGCTCAAGAACAGAGGCATGCTAACGTGCTGCACTCAATGTTGTTTAAACTGGTGCACGAGGTGCAGCCTGCTCGGATTGCAACAATCTTGAAATTTCTGTACATATAAACAAAAACATTCTACAAACATTCTACATTAAATTCCTTTTTTTTTTCTTCATATTTTTAATAAAATGGTATTCCCATTCAGTGTGGCCATTCAGAGAGACTGGAAAATGAGTAGCTGTGATGCTGAGTTTAATAAAAAGGTGCTGAACACCAACCCTGCTGTGCTAGCAGATTTGCCTGCTCCCAAAGAAGTGTCACAGCATCCCTTCAGAAGGATGCTAAAACCGCACAGAGTTCCAATATGTTCAACTGTGTTGATAAAATAGTTCTTGATTAAGTAAACATGGACACAGTGGAAATCTGTACGTATCACTTGTAGTATACTAGTGTTTAGGAGATTCAGTGAGAGGTCAGATGCCATTGCACTAAGGGCTGTGCAAATATATAAGAAAAAAAATGGAGCATGATCTATAAACGTGAGAGGTACTTAATTAAATATATTCTGTATTTGATGTGCTAGATTTTGAAGTCTATGAAAGTGTCCCTTCTGAGCATCCAAAGTCCCTTCTAGAAGAGACTCAAATTGAAACCCTAAGAGTATTTTATTGTAGTCTGAAAACAAACAAACAAACAAAAAAAGACTTCCTTTGAGTTTCACTGTATAAATATTTCAGTAGGGGAGTGGGCTTTCATTCACTTCCACTGACAAATCTGGGGAAAACCTATCATCCAGATTTATGGGATTTTCTCTGTTCTTTTTTTCTTTTTTGAATTGCACTGGATGTAATAGGTGCTGGCATCATTGAAGATGATTCCTTACTCCTATTCCTTACCTCCAGCTTGCTTCAGAAGCACCCAGAGCCACCTCTGGCCCCGCCGCACTGGTGACTCCCTGCAGCACGTGGGAGCCCTCGGGGCGCCCGGGTGCTCCTGCCCCGGCACCCGCGGCTCCAACGTCCTGCGGCTCCGCTGTGCGCAGGGCGGGAGCGGGCACAAGACAAGGGACAACGCCGTGCTGTGGCCACGTACGGGGATGGCCTAGGGGGGTTTAATAAACTCAAGGCAAAAATAAATAGCTGTTTTGTGCGGCTGCTATTGGTCACCACTGGTAGGCAAAAGTTTACTGAGCTTTTCTTGATATGTGATGAGAATCCTGACGAACTGCACTGCAAACAAATAATCATGAAATCACAAGATCACCCTATTGAAAATCAACCTGAACTGGAATCTGGGTTGTGTTTCTAATACTAACTATTTGTGCTAGCTGTATAATTTGGAGCCTACCAGCTGACCTATCTACTCTTCATTTTCTTCAAATGTAGAAAAATTAAAACTGCTAGGATTTGAACTGCCGAAGTGAAAGATAGAAATTTGCCTCAGCTATATATGAGAAGGTTTTCTTCACTTGCAGCTTTCCTTTAAAAGTTTCAGAATTTTCAAGGCTTTCTTTTTTCACTAAGTCTCCGATTCAGGAAAATCATATGAATTTTAGTAGATGCTTAAAACTAAGTGTAAAGGGCAGAACAGGAACACCGAATAAATGCTATTTAGAGAAGTTCTTCAGGTAATTCCTATTATAAGATAGATTTTTCTATAGTAAGTCTATCCTAAAATAGACTAAATTACAGTGCAGAAGCTAATTACAAAAAAAAAAAAAAAAAAAGGAATGGCTACCACTTCTGATCTGAACAAATACGGAAAAGACTGCAGACACACTCTGAGCAGCACTTCGCAGAGTGAGTGTTGAGAAAAACGTGGAGGCTCGTGGGGGCCTTATAGCAACTCTGAATGAAAATGCACAGGAAGAGTTTATTATTCCATTTCCAATGCTACGGCAAAAAAAATAGCATCGAGGCTCCTAAATAAAATGCATAAGATTTTGAGAGTTTTACCTCAAATAGAGCCAATTCCCTTGCTGCCGACTCTATTGAGGGACAAAATAAAAAAAGAAAGTGGAGAACACACTGTTTGACTTGATAACAGAATCAGAGCTACTGTTTCCGAAGCAAACGTTACTTTGGCCAACAAATATAACAACATGCATTTATATAATGAAATGTGTCTCTTTTCTTCATTTTTTTTTTGTGTTTTCACCAGAGGGATGCCATCCAGAACTCACCCAGATTTGGCTGGGACATTGCCATGGACCTCTGTGGCATCGGTGTGGAAGTAGCTGCAGGATGGTGGTTCATGTGATTCAGCGGCTGGTTCATAGTTTTTCGAGGATCTTGCCATGTTGTAATTTTTTCTATGTGACTAAGAAAGGAAAGATAAAAGACAAGATTAGCATAAAACACCCAACTATATTATATAGTTTATACGTATAATATAGTATACATATATTACATGGCTAGGCACAGTGCTACAGAAGACCCAGTTGTTTTTCTTATTTCATATTTATCTTCCCTTCCCATCTCACCCTAATCCCTTTATAACAATCCATCTTCTTGTCATTCATTTCACCTTGGAACAATTTCTTTCCTTCCGTGCTTCTGTCTCCTTCCATTTTAACTCCTTATACATTATCCCTGAATTCACTACTGTTACATATTCATCTTCCACATATTTCATTGTCCAAATTTGTTTTCTCTTATTCTACCAGCCTTTCTCTATATACTCAAACATACGCCCATTCCTCATGCAGCAAAATACAGTCATCTCGCTGGGGCAGCCTGTCTTGACAGAACGGGTGTTTTTCTTGGTTTTGTTTTTGCCGCTCTGTCTTTGCCTTTTCCAAGATCAGAATATACTCAGAATATACAGAGCAGCTCCTGGAAGTCTGTTACTGAACCCAAATTTCTCACTTTTCCCACCCATGCAGGCACTGCCACTCCTGCCACCTCCACCTCGTGTCCCCAGACCCAGCTCATAGGTAGCAGCATTTGACAAGCAGGTTTTGACCTAGTGCAGCGCTACCAAGTCCAAATTCTTCGAAGCCAACCTCTAACATCAGTGAAAATAACGTGAATGGCAAGCAGGATAAAAATAAGAACTAGTTTCTAAAGAAAGGAAAATGGTAGCACTGTCTGTATTTATTCCATGTCAACTTTCTTTTTCTAGTATTTTGCACTCAATGTACACTCCCCAGATTGCAAAGGAAGATCAAGCCTGTCTAAAGCCAAGCCTATAGCAGCTAAATCACTTCCCCTCCTCATTACTCCTAGAGCTCTTCATTCATGTTATCATTAACAATGAAACCACCCACCTGTTCTTCTCCCCAAATACTTTTACTGTCCTTTCACTGTTAATTTTTCTTGTATTTTTTTTCCATTTTACTCTTAAGGTGAGGCACAGAGCAGCATTCTGAATTAAAGATGTTGTTATAACATTAGGGCAATGCTCTCTGCAAGTCCAGCTTGTGCTCAAATGACATTTTTATTTGAAGCTCCATTGCTTTGTTCTCTGGCATTCTAACTCAAATAAAGCTATACTTCTACATCAAAGGCCATGAATTTTGGAATATCAACCTATAACAGAAAAAGAGATTCCCAAAGTAGGAAGAAAAATGTTTTTAAACATAAGCTTTAGTGGTTAATTAAATACCACCTTAATGATGATTTATAAGAACAGTTTTTTCACTTTAAAACAATTTTTACAAACCTTTCAAATTTAAGCAAAATATAAAAATGTAAATAAAGACTTTTTTCTCTAAGGTTCATCTCTAGAAACTGAAAACATAAGTTCCTGTTAGGAAAACGTGAAGCACGGGTCAAAGTATTTATGAAGTCAGTTGTATTAAGCAACCCATAGCTTGTTTGAACGTGTCCTTCATTCTGACTATGAATCTGAAACCTTAGACTGCGGCTACCAGTTACGTACAGTGAGCAATAGCAGGAAGTGCCTTTAACAAAAACATGTTAGAAAACGAAAATGGTCAACTTCAATATTAATTTTTGTTATCTCAGTTCTTTCAGCATTAACATTCTCACATTTCATGAGCACGGAAAAGCAGGGAAATACGATCATCCCTTTCTTCATTGGGGTGAGTGCTGCGAACACAGGGAGTCATGCATGTGAGTTTGCACTTAAGATCTGGAGGATTCGTCCTATATGCATGTTTGGAATTTTTGAATTGTTACTCATATGTATAAAAAGGCTCTTAATCCACACTTTAGTTGTTCTGACAAGTTTTAAAAGTGAAACCACCTAAGCAATTAACCAGCAGTTCCTGTTAAGTTTCACAAAGAAAATTGTCCAAAGAGCAAACCTGGAGCGAGCAGTCAAGCCCCTTGCACGGGTGCTGCACCAAGGCTGCAGCTTTGGCAAGCGCAGGACTCCGTCGCCCACAGGGGCCAGCGTGGCCACGACAGCATCCCCAGCACCAGGGGCACCTTTGGGCTCCACCACGCGGCACGTTCCCCCGCGAGCCCTCCCGCCGGCCGGGCGGGAGCCGGGCCAGGGCTGGGGAAGCTGCCGGAGAGCGCGGCGGAGCCGGCGCTTTTCCGGAACGAGAACAAGCCCAGGCCAGCGCCGCCGGTACCCAAGCAGGTCTCAGGGCTCTGAAACGTCGCCACGTTCCCAGCCTGGCCTCGGAGTAACGAGGCTGCTGAGACGCAGGCAGCGCGTGGGCTCGAGCTCCGCACGGCCCCGCTGCGGGCAGGGGCCGCGTGCCGGCCTGCTGTCACCTGGCAAACGGGAGCCGAAACACCTGCGCAAGACACGGCCGGCCAGGAGGCTCGTACAGCCACCAAGTGCGCGAGCCGCCGGAGCACGCACGGCTACCAACAGCGCTCCCTCCTGTTGCCTTTTTTTTTTTTTTTTGTATTTGCTACTTCATTACATGTAAGAATTGAAATATGAAAGTTTTAAGCAATTTTGTATCTAAGTAATTCAATACAGTTTATTACTGTATGCAAAAATACAGAGACAAACGAAACGTAATTTGCTATTCTGAGTAAATAGAGCAGCAAATAGTGAACTCGGACACTGAACAAAACATGGAATTCCTCATTTCAGCCTTGATCCTGAACCACTGAAGTTACTGGAGACTTTGCCACAGATGCCAATGGGAAATGGATCAGACCCTTCCACATTCCCACAGCTTCACAGCACGGCAGATATTTAGGAAAGAAAGGAGAGCTTGGGTGCAGTTGACAATCTTCTCTAACAACTTTATAATTTTTTATCTTGTACTTTTAATTCTGTGTCATTAGGTTTACCTTATTAAAACTGCACAAAATCAGACCATGTGTATACAGCATATCTTTAGAAAAGGAGAAAACACAGGGCTTCATTAACAGAACTCATTACAAATGTTATTCAACAACATAAATTATGTAAACATTATTATTTCAACAAAATATTGTCTAAACAGTGACTCTAAAAAACCTTTCTACAAACAGTGCTATTTTAATATTATCCTCCGTATACTTCAAATGCCACAGAGTCAAGCAAGTTACTTTTTGGGAAACACATTTGTCATAACACTCCCTGCTGAAACACTTGGTTTCTGATCACCAAATTAGGATGAAAGGAGCTGTGGTTCTTTAAAGGAGGGTTTTTTCCAAGTTGTACCATGAGCCAGTTCTCCACCCCTTTCACGTTATTTAAAATATGCCCACCGAAAATGCCGTGCCGACAGAGGATTATGCGGAAACGCTCTGTCATTTGCCTCCTCTGAACTATGTGCCTTTTCCTGGCTACTGATGCAGCAAGGCAGTCAGTATCAAGACAGCACAAAACATGGAGAAACACATCATCTAGTGTCAATAAACAAGGAATTGCTTCCTAGGCTCATGCCATCCTACAGTGCATCGTGACTGTCCTGAACAAAAATCATCACAGCCTGCAGATTTCCCCCTTATTCATTTAAAATAAAAGATGCAAATCAAGTTTATCAAATCAAGTTTTAATAAGATTGCAAAGCCTCTTCTCACATAGAAGTGCTTGTAAGAAAGGATAAAAATGTTCTGTAAATTGTCATGCAAAGCAACCAGCTATGAAACTGCAGCTGAAAACTAATGCTGCTTTTGTTCAAGCTCTCAATTTTCTCTTTTTATATAGAAAATGATCCATACCATAATTACACATGTGAGAAGAAGGGCAATGACAGACGTTTGGCAGTGCTTCTGAACTGACAGAAGAATTGAAAGTTTGATCAAAAAATGTAAGGATCACAGATCTTCAACTCTCCAACTGCATAAAAAAGCCCACAGGAATTCTCTGTGTAAACACAGTAAGTTCTCAGCAGCTATAGCCAGGAGCCACAAGTGCCCTCGCTTGCCCTTGCTGGTGCCATCCTGGCAATGCACAAACATAGCTTCTTCATTAGAAACATGCAGACAGAGCGTCTGAAACACAGCCCTCAAAAATGCCATTGATATTGTGATTCAGGATCAAGTAATGGCTGGTTGTTACTAGAATTCATTGTAACGACCGCAAAGCCGATCTGCTTTTATCTAGTTATTAAAGAAAAAGCTGCCTATCAGACAATGCCTATTTAACAACCTAAGACACTAGATGTGCAAAAGCAACAATAATTTAAAATTAGTGCTAAGATTTTAAACTAATTTGATTACAGTCCAGAAAGGCTTTTTCCCCCCCTCAGGATGTGCATTGTTTATGTAAACCCTCCTCCTCTAGGCACTGGGCGTTTTTAAAGGTTAGATTAGACCCCTGCAGAAACAGGTACTGGCCTATTCCCCTTGAAGTGACCGGTTAAACCAGAGTAGCAGCATTTGGCCCAGCACCTTTTTATTCATGCAGAGACAATACAGAAGTTATAGAAATTGGGATTTCTATGGTTCTTACAGTCTCCTGGATATCAGACCTGACAAAACTCGATGCAGAACAACCTCTTTTCCACCAGCAGGTAAAACAGTGACCTTCACCAAAGCGCAGAGTGCCTTGCATGACCTGGGCCAGCTGCAAAGCCTGCAGCCCGCGCGGGA